ACCAACGGTCAAGGCAGAGACCAGAAAACAGAGAATGCTGGGAGCGTATCGACTTGATATGCGTTCATGGCGCACCCATACCGAAGACAAGTCGAATAATAATAATAATAACGCATTATGATTTAATCATTGACTGTCGATAACTACCTAACTTGATAAAATACAAACCGAAACAGAGTTTAGAGCAGGTCGAAGTAGATTATCGGCTGTAAATGAAGAAGAGTTTTGTATATTTGCCTTGATCGGAAGACCGCTGTGACTGCTAACGCAGTGCACTTTGACTTCGGCGGTTTCCTCCGAGTTCCAACCGCAGTAGGCGCATTGGAAGAGTTTAACGACATGTTGCCTGGCGTGCAGGGTGATGGTCGAAAGCTGTCGCGGCACGGCCTCTTTACAAACGGCGCAGACGAGTTTCGAGTCGCCGCCGTCGCTCTCGTCCATGTCCAACGCGTCGCCGGTGTCAGCCATCGTATCCTCATGCTCGCAGTCGTTGTTCAACGTCGCCGACAGGTTCGAATCGGACCGAGGCGTCGTTTCACCGCCGCAGTCAACGGTCTTCGCCTTGTCCGGTGTCCTGGCGACGCTGCAGTCCATGGCCATTTCCTGACACTCGTCCGCGACTCCGCCGAAGCACTTCTGGCGCAACGCCTGGAGGCCCTGCACGCCGTCCGGGGGACAGCAGAGGATGCGCGTCTCCTGGCTCTGCGGGTGGGCGCTGTGCACGTGTTGCTTGGCCCTGATCAGGAACGTGGTCGCGTACGTGCACACCGGACAGTGGTAGAACTTGGAGGAGATGTGCACCTGGACATGATCGTTCATCGACGCATCGGTGGCCGCCACGCGCTGCTCGCAAAGCATACAGCTGACCTGGCCCAAGTCGCCGCTGCCCGCGCCGTATTTTGCCGCTGCTTGAGCCGACGGGTCAGCAGGAGAGCCTACGCCACCGATCACCATTGCACCGTCCATCAAGCCGGACAGAAACGGAAAACAACGCAGCTTCATGTCGGTGATACGGTCCTTGATGCCGGGCACCGGTCGATGCACGATCCTGACCGGAAAGCCGTTGTGCACCTGCTGGATGTGTCTGGTGACTTTGCCGCGGATGTACGACTGGTAAGTGCAGTACTGACAGTGGTACGG